TGGAGCTTCCATGGCCTTGCCTTGTACAAGCTGTGCTGGCTTCCCCAGTATTGTGCAGTGTCTTAACCTTCACCAAAGTTACCACTTATCTATTGTCTATTTAGTATTTCCTACCTAAACAACAGCATTGTTATTCCTAATATTTTCCCATTTTAAGAAGGCCTTGTGGTAATTACCTATTTAAAAGTTTGATAATGAAAGAAGCCCAAATCTTTAAACAAAACAAGTTCCCCTTCCAAAAAAGACAGTATATTTAATCTGGTTCAAAATTATCAAAACATGTTTACTTTTATGGTAGAAAAGGCCATTTCCTTTTTTCATAAGTGTTTTTGATCATTGAAAGGAATTAAATTCAGACTGGATAGCACTGCATAGAAGAAAGAAAAGTATACCTGTTTGTATATATGACTTGATGAATAATTTAGCACCGCAGAGTGTAATTGCAACAAAAGAAAATGTTCGTGCTAATAACTTTGTATCTTAGTTATAAATGTACAGCTTTATGACATTTTGGAATTTTAGAAATAGATCATCAGTACAAAAGGAGCATCATTTTTATTGAACATACCCAAGTATGTTCCAAGATTGCTAGATCCATGCTGTGGAAGAAAAGCATTTATAGTGTGTGCAAGTTACGGCCCTAACAGCACTTAGCTTTAGTGTATTCGATCTGTGATCAGATATATATTTGATAAAAATGATAGAGCAAAAAAAAAAAAAAGTTGTAGAGAAACATACCACTTTCTAGCCTATTTCCTCATCTATTTTGAGATTAATTTTTTTTTTCTTCCTTTAACAGGACATCTTACAGGAAAACATGAGAGACATTTCTCCATCTCAGGATGCCCGCTGTATCATAACCTCTCAGCTGATGAATGCAAGGTAGTCTCAGTCTTCTCATTTACTCAACAAATACTTATTGAGTGCTTACCCTGTGCCAGGCACTTTGCTAAACACTGGGGATACAGTGGTGAACAAAAGGGACAAGGTCTTTACTCCTGTATTTTAGTGAAAGAAACATAATAAAACACAATTGTGTCTTTTA